ATGATTCATTAACACTGAGCGTCATTGCTCCCTGATTAGAAAAGAACTGTGTGGCACATTTACTACATTTTTCTTCTTCTTCTTCTTCTTCTTCTTCTTCTTCTTATTATTATTATTATTATCATTTACTTACTGATTTTAGATAGAAGAAGGAGAGGTAGAGAAAGAAACATTGATTTGTTGTTCTGCTTATTTGTGCATTCATTGGCTAATTGAATGTGCTCAGACCAGAGGTTGAACCTGTAACCTTGGCGTATTGTGACAGCGCTCTAACCAACTGAGCTCCCTGGCCAGGGCTCCTGCGTTCTTTATTTTAAACAAGCAAGCAGGAGAGCCTGCTCCTTAGGTATCTATCTGTGCACAGGTAGTAACTACTGAACGTGTCCGAGGGCTGTGTCAGGGAAATGCCTTTTAAGTGTCTGTCCTAAACACAGAACATAGAGGATGGTATCAGATGTTATCTGCAACCTTTGGGAAATGCTACTGACCAGCAGCAAAGTCCTTTTTGGCATGCATGTAACCACATGTTGCTCTCTGGAATAAAGACCTGGGAATGAATGTCTGAAGAGTGTTGAGGTTATAAATGCAATGGCAAAACAAAACCAGATTGAAAAAAACAAAACAAACACAAAAAACTAGCGTCCCTCCCCAGGTGAGCACAAAGGAAAAGCAGGTTGGACAGGAAACGCAGAGCAGTGACCAGGGTGATGACAGAGGTAATGCCCATAGCCTTTCAGGCCTCCCCGGGCCTCTGGCCCGTTGTGGGTCAGGGTCTGGGGGGTGGCGCTGAGAGACGCCCTGCGGTGGGCCTCTTCTGACCCCATCTCTGACCACCGAGACTCGGGCACCCCTCCATCTTTGTGAACTTCATACCACAGCCCTCCTGCCTTTCCACTCTTTTTAGCGCTCAGGGAAAGCGAGCAGGAGAGGGATTTTTGTCTTTGGGGCTTACATTTACACTGACCGAAGCTCCTTGGGAATGTTATTGCATCTAAGGAGCTGACCGGCTGAGAGCAGAGCACCCAGGGGATGCTGGTCTGGGAGGGGAGCGAGAGAGAGAGGAGAGAACGAGCTGTGAAACCATCAGCATTACGGATCTTCACCTAAAAGGATCTTCACCTAAAAGTCATGTCGGATAATCAGTTAACCTTTGGTCAGAACTATGTTAAAACTCTGAATGGGAGTTTGTCATTTTGAGGAATAAGCAAACTATTGAATGCAGTAGTATAAGGGCCAACCCTTTGTTTATGCAAATGATTTCCATTGAATTCAGTTTAGCAAACTTTCTCCCTCTGACTTCTATTATGAAAAATTTAAAACATACAAAGAACTTTAAAGAATTGTAAGGCTGACCAGTGTGGCACAGTAGGTGAGCGTCCACCTGTGAACAGGGAGGTCACGGTTCAATTCCTGGTCAGGGCACCTGCCAGGTGTTGCTGGCTCCATCCCCAGTGAGAGGTGTGCAGGAGGCAGCCGGCCAGTGATTCTCTCTCATCATTGATGTTTCTATGTCCCTCTCTCCCTCTCTAAAATCAATCAATAAATAAATCAATTGTACAGAGGGCATCCGTATTCCTGTCATCTAGATTATATAATTGCTAAGCTTTTAATATATTTTTATTGATTTCAGAGAAGGGAGAGGGAGAGAGATAGAAACACCAATGATGAGAGAGAATCATTGATTGGCTACCTCCTGTGCTCCTACTGGGTGATCAAGCCTGTAACCCGGGCATGTGCCCTGACCAGGAATTGAACCTGGGACCTTCAGTCCTCAGGCCAACTCTCTATCTACTGAGCCACACCAGCTAGGGAACAATTGCTAAGCTTTTGCTACATTTGCTTTATCCGTCAATCACTTGTACTTTTATATAACCATTGCAGTATTGTTTACATTTTATTAAAGGACACGTGTGAGGTGAGTTTTATAAATTTATGCAGCTGTGCAGCCACCACCAGTTTGAGTTACAGACATTCATCTCCCCCAAGTTCCCTTCTGTCGTTGGTAGTCAGCCCCGCTCCCACCCCAGGGGACTCCTGCCCGTTTGTCTGTTTTTTGCCTTTTCTAGAAGTTTCCTGTAAATGGAATTACACAGTATGTAGTCTGTATCTGGCTTCTTCCACTTAGCATGATGTTCTTGAGGTCCATCCATGTTGTCTCAGGTCAGCAGTGCTTTCCTTTTTACTGTTGAAGATGCTTTTCTGTTGTATAGGTGTATCACGTTCTAGCGATCCGTTCCCGCAGTAGTTAATGGCGCTCCTTGGCTCACACCTGGGGGTGGGGGGGGGGGGTGAGAATGGCTCATGGTAACGCCCACTGGATGTCACAGGAACCTGGGGAATTCTGAGACCATCACTTGAATGAGCCTGCCCAGGAACACACTGCAAAGCCAGGTTCCACAGGCTCTGAGCGCAGCAGTGTGGGCACCTGTGCGCCTGCGAGCTTGTTTACATGGTGATTCTTTTGGGCTGGTGGCTCTGAAAGAACAGATTCACATCACTCCGCTTCCAGCTCTATGAAGGGCTAGATCATCCCTTCTTCCCGCGACCTGATTGCAACCACATTGAGCTCTGCGATACTCTGAGTGGATCGCTCGTGGGCTTACGGTCATTCGTTTCCATAGGCGTGTTCCCCGGGCGGCTGCACCGGGGTGATTTCTGAGGCATGGCTCCTCAGTGCTGTGGAGACCAAGCGCTCAGACCAAGTGTTTCTTCAGGGCGGGCAGGACATTACATTTGAAAATACGGATTAAAGACATGATGTAACTTAATGACCAGGAAGTGTTGAGTGGCCACACTATGACCAGGCCAGTTCTGGGTTCCGTGGATGTGAGAGGCAGCCTGACCTGGTTCTTCCCGGAAAGGCTGCACCGAAGCCGCCTGTGGCGATAGGTGAGGTGGTACCAGGTGTGGCCAGGACCTCTGGCTTTCCTGAGTTCATTGCCTTTCATGGGAGCCGGTAGCATTGCGTGGCCAGACCGTTAGAATTCAGAACAAAAACAGAATGACAGCCCCATTGGGTCAGAAATGAAAGATTCTTTAGGACGAGCTCCAGCGAGGAGCTTGTCCCAAACAGTATCACTATCTGGCTTTTAAAAAAGATTTGGCCCTCACCGGTTTGGCTCAGTGGATAGAGCGTCAGCCTGTGGACTGAGGGGTCCTGGGTTCGATTCCGTCTGAAAGGCGTGTACCATAGTATGTACCACAGTTGTAGGCTCAGTTCCCGACCGTGGTTGGACATGGGCAGGAGCCATCAATTGATGTGTCTCTCACATTGATCCCTCCCTCCCTCCTTCTTTCTTCCGTTCCCTAAAAACAATGGAAAAATATCCTCGGATGAGGGTTAACCAAAAAACCCCACCAAATTTTGTAGCTAAAAGCTACATTTAGTCATTGAGGTTTAAACCAAATGCTTTGTGTGTTTTCATTCCATGGTAGTGGGCTGCTGTGGGGGACAGGTTTTGTTCTGGCCACCGCGAGAAGCAGTGGACCTCTGGATCAGAGCCTGGACCAGAAAAGCCACAGCAGCACGCATGGTCAGCAGCCTCTTGTCTTGCATGGAGGGAAGTGGGTCCCGCCCCTTAGTGAGATGAGCCGTCTGAGTCCTTGGTTTCCTGCAGACGAGCTGGGCTTTAGGACAGCAGGCAGGCAGTCTGCTCAGCCTTGGACACTGACTGCGCATGGGACGGGCCGTTGTAGTAGGGCTCACCGTCTTCAGTCCCGTGAGCCGACGCCGAAGCTCTGAGTGCTCGTGGCTCCTCAGCCTGCAGTGCTCCTTGTTTCTCCTGGGTCAGGAGCACCGCCTGCGGCTGGTGCTCTCTCCGGGAAGCCTGCTCCAGGCACCCAGGCACGTCTTCATCTTCTGGAGGCTCTCCCCCCTCCCATTCCTGACACAGATGGCCTGGTTTATAACTAGCTTACTTTCCCAATTAACAAGATACAGCGGCCAAAGCCAGTGTGGCTCAGTGGACAGAGCGTCAGCCTGCGGACTGAAAGGTCCCGGGTTCGATTCCGGTCAAGGGCATGTGCATTGGTTGCGGGAGGTGTGCAGGAGGCAGCTGATTGATGTTTCTAACTCTCTATCCCTCTCCCTTCCTCTCTGTAAAAAAATCAGTAAAATATATGTAAAGAAAAGACATGGCGGCTATAACATATACATACAGACTCTTACTGCTGGCTTCTTTAGCATGACGTTAAAATGTGAACTTGCTCCGCTGTGTGGCTCTGTGGTTGAGCATTGACCTATGAGCAGGGAGGTCACAATTTGGGTTGCTGGCTCTATCACAGGTAGGGGGCGTGCAGGAGGCAGCCTATCAATGGTTCTCTCTCATCATTGATATTTCTCTTTTCCTCATGAAATCAATAAAAAAGTGAGCTTTCCATGTCAATACACTTCTGCAACATCTCTTTAAATAACTATCGATATATATTAGTCCATTGCATGAATCGGTCACATATTTCCTTTTTGTTAAGCATTTTTATTTTTTTTACTCCTAGAAAACACTGGTTCACATATACCCTACCATTTTCTCAGGAAAACCCTCTGCAGTAGAAGAGCACCTTCCGGGGCTCTCAGACAGCAGGTGCCGGGAGGCTGCACGGACGCCTAGATGACCTTTGCAGCGGGGGCTGGTAGCTGCCAGGCCCTTGGCACTTTGTATCTGTTTAGTTTTGTGTTGCTGGGTTTGTATGGGAATCCTCAGCCTGGACATTCCTGCCAGTAACCGGTGGCTCAGAGGTGCGCCTCCCAGCCGAGGCCTCCGCGCAGCTGGAGGGGCTGCGGCAGTCGGAGCCCATGCTGAGGAGTCATGACTCTACAGTGTTTGCTTAAGTTGCAATTTAAAGTAATTGCTTAGGTTGTTCATGAGAACAAAGACAGAAAACTAAAGAGATCCAGGCAATCACTGGGCCATGGAGTCTGAGCTGAAGACAAAGCATTTAAAACCTTGCGATGCTCCGAACGAGACGAAGCGGTCATTTGACTTTTTCTTTCTTCTTTCTAGGTGTCTCATTCAGTTGCTAAACTTATATTAGTTAATTTCCACTGGCAAGTTGCAGAGATATTGGACAGGTAAGCTGTTTGGGGGCGGAGAGGTGGCATCGCCCACAGCGTGGTGCCATTCTTTGCGCTTTGGAGCATGTCCTTACAGTGTGCGTATTGTATTTTAAAGACACTGGGTCAAATTGTATATGTTTTTTCCTCTCAATTTACATGTTGAACATTTTCCCATCTATTTTCCAGCATATTCTTTCTACTGGTATTTGCTGGTACAGTATCTTAGAGATGCTTCTTACTTTGTTCAAACCTCTGTTGGACAGTGACGTCAGGTTTTTTGTGCCTTGTTAATTAGTTTGTAGTCAGTGCCCTTCTAGATTACCCTTGCCGACATCTCTTATTTCTTTTGGATTCATCATATATATCATGGCACGTCACATGTTAGCTTGAGAAAAGTAATTGGCCAATTCGCCACCCGCCTCCAGCCCCAGAGCCCGAGGCCCAGATTGGAGCCTCAGACACTGGAAGCTGTGGGAGGAGGGTGTCTCCCCGGCCCGCCGGAGACATTTCCGAGACCCCCGCAGAGGCCAGTCTGGCTCCGGGTCTCTCCTCAGCACCACGGGCTTTGGGCTGCATGACTCTTGCTGGGGAGACTGTTCTGGGATTGTAGGAGGTTTGGCAGATGCCTCAGCTCACCTTCTGCACGTCAGGAGCAGGAGCATCCACAGTCCTGGAGGTAAATGCCCCGGAGGACAGCATCTCCCCGGGAGAAACACGCCACCCTGCCCTTCCGCACCGGACATCGTTCTCCCGGTGTGGCCCTGTGAATGGTGGCCGCGCCCGCCGAGCACCCGCTCACTCCCTCCCGCACTCACTGCAGAGTGCAGGTGCCCCCCCAGGCCTGCACCTCTGTCCCCGCTGCCCATCGGGAATCGGGATGGAGAGGTGGAGGCTAAGCCAGAAGCATCAGGTGGAGTGGTGGGAGTGAAAGCCGCTGGAGGAGGCACTGTGACAGGTGGACGAGGACACCTGTGTGAGACAGCCCCCTGCTCGGCTCCTGGTGGCCGGGAACAAGGTTTTCCTGGCCTTGGGTAGCACTTTATTGCCACGTGATGATTGTTCTCATTTCTTTTTTTTAATATATTTTATTGATTTTACACAGAGAGGAATTGAGAGGGACAGAGAGTTAGAAACATAGATGAGAGAGAATCATTGATCAGCTACCTCTTGCACACACACACACCCCCCCTCCCCCCACTGAAGATGTGCCCACAACCAAGGTACATGCCCTTGACCGGAATCGAACCCGGGACCTTTCAGTCCGCAGGCCGACGCTCTATCCACTGAGCCAAACCGGTCCCGGCTGTTCTCATTTCTAAATGTATTTATGCCATACCTCGTTCCAGAGGGATTAGATGGTTCTGATGAAAGCGTGGTTTTTCAGAAAGCCGTGTGTGAATGTGCACACACATGCGCATGTGCTGTGTGCAGGCACTAAAGAGCAATAAAGCAGGTGCTCTCCTGAGTGCTCCCCCAACAAGAACCCGCTGGCGCGCAGGAGGAGCCTCTGGCGGCAGTGCTGCCTGGCCCGCCTCCTCCCACCGGGCACTCGTACCTGCCGTTCCTGTTGATCGTTTTCTTATTTTTTCTAACTTAGGTAACTTTTAGTTTAGTATGTTTTTAGAATTCTACAGACATCATCATGCTGTGCTTTAAGTTTTAAAATTACAAACAAAGTTGCATTTTATGACATCCTGTGAATCCTGTCAGAAAACCATTTTGAGGTGGATTGTTTGGTTGGTTGCTTTGCTGTCACACATGATGCAGCTTTGAAAACCTGTCGGAGACTCCAGTGTAACCACTTTGTAGAGTTCAGAGAGAGAGTGTTACTGGTCTCTGGTTTCTAAAACTTGACTGGTGAATGCCAATGTTTTCCATGGTACGGTACACGCCCACCAGTGGTGTGGGCGCTCCCGGTGCTGCCGCAGTGAAGTTTCACGTGTGGAGGGTGAGCGTGGCTTCCAGTTATCGTTAACTTCATTTTCTGGATTATTCAGGAGCATCTTTTCTTCTGTTTAGTGGGCATTTGTGTTTCCTCTTCTGTGGCTGCCTGTTCTCTCTCTTGCCCATTTTTATTGTTACTTTATCTTTTGTATCTTGTATCTGGAATGAGGTTTGGCATAAGTACATTTAGAAATAAGAACAATTATCATATGGCAATAAAAGTGCTACCAAAAGCCCAGGAAAACACATTCCCAGACACCAGGGACAAATGAATTTATAGGCTTTTATGTGTGGGTTGTTTTTATTCTGAATATCATCCTTTGCCATATAGGTATTGAATTTTCTCATCCAGTTTATATCTGATGAACCACATGGTTTTTTGTGGTGTTGTGTTTTTTTTTTTTTTTTTTTTTTTTTTTTTTTTTTTTAAATATATTTTATTGATTTTGTACAGATAGAAAGGGAGAGAGATAGAGAGTCAGAAACATTGATGAGAGAGAGTCATCAATCAGCTGCCTCTTGCACACCCCCTACAGGGATATGCCCGCAACCAAGGTACATGCCCTTGACCGGAATCGAACCCGGGACCCTTCAGTCCCCAAGCCGGCGCTCTATCCATTGAGCCAAACCGGTTTCGGCTGTGGTGTTGTTTTTTAAATATATTTTAGTTTTTATTTTTGTTTGTTTTTTTTTACAGAGAGGAAGGGAGAGGGATAGAGTTAAAAACATCTGAGAGAGAAACATCAATCAGCCGCCTCCTGCACACCCCCTACTGGGGATGTGCCCGCAACCACGGTACATACCTTGACCAGAATCAAACCTGGGACCCTTCAGTCCACAGGCCAACACTCTGTCCACTGAGCCAATTCGGTTAGGGCATGATGAACCTAAGTTTTTAAATGTAACATGATTTTTCAGTTTTTCTTTTATGCTCTGCTTGTGTGTGTGTGTGTGTGTGTGTGTGTGTGTCTTAAGATATCCTTCCCTATTCTGGTGGCAGTAAAGAGATTTTTACCTTTAATTTCAGAAGGGAATGTAAATCAGAAACAATCCTTCATGAGCATTGTTCTCACAGCTCAGCCTTGGAGACAGGGTTATTATTCGCAGACAATTGAGAGCTAAAAGAAGTGGGAAGAGAAGCGCATTTGCACTGAGGAGGGAGCTGGGCTCTGCGAGCGGTAATTAGAGACAAAGGCACTCAGGCAGCTGCGCACGCTGGCCCGTCCTCCGCGGTGAACCTGCGCCTTCCGCCCCGACGCCTGGGTCTCTGCCTTTTGTGTTATAGGTACAAGTCCAATTCTGCTCAGCTGCTCGTTGAGGCGCGCGTCCAGCCCAGTCCATCGAAACACGTGAGTGTGTCCTGCCTGGGAGGAGTCTCCCGGCACGTGGCTCCCCTGTGGCTTCGAGGTGCTATGGAGAGCCCTCTCACTGCTTCTGGTGTGACTGCCTCCTGTTTGTTCCATTGTTGCTGGAAAGCTTCCTCGGGTGGAGAGGAAATCATTGCCGATCCAGGGCCGCTCAGCCCTTTCATCTCTGCCCTCACAGCCTGCACTCCATCCCCGCTGCTGCCTGGTGTGCCCAGCTCACCGCACGCCTCTGCCCTGCCTCTGCCTCTGGACCCTCCCTGGCCTGGAGTGTTCAGACCCTGTCCCCATGTTTGTGGGAATGGAACTCACTTTTTTTTTTTTTTTAATATATTTTATTGATTGTTTTAGAGAGAGGAAGGGAGAGAGGTAGAGAGTTAGAAACATCGATGAGAGACACATTGATCGGCTGCCTCCTGCACACCCCCCACCAGGGATATGCCCACAACCAAGGTACATACCCTTGACCGGAATCGAACCTGGGACTTTCAGTCTGCAGGCTGACACTGTATCCACTGAGCCACACCGGTTTCGGCTTGAAACTCACTTTTAAAGACCCAAACCCAAGCTGTCCCTCACAAAGCCTGTCCCCCGGGATCACTCCCTGCAAACTCGTCTGGTTGTGTCTTTAAACCTTCACTGTATGTGGTAGTGATTCAGCCATCTTTCCCTACCGCAGTGAGTGCTCTGAGGGAGACACCATGTCCTACAGGCCTGGCCATGCCTGTGTGTCTAGAAGTTCAACAAACATCTGTTAGATGAGCGCAGAGCGCTTAGGAGAGATTTGGAGCTCAGGTCACCACAGAACTTCTGCAGCCTCTCCTTAGAAAGCTTCCCGGCGCAGCCTGGCTGAGCACGGGAACAGTCCTTTTCTCGGATTGTTTGTATTTCCGGGAGGAAGGGAGAGGGGATAGATGGAGCAGGTGCTCTGCTTTAACAAGCTGACAAGAGCCGAGCTCACCTTGTAGAGGCTTTTCCGTGGGCTGTGGTGTTGGCCGGGGCCCCCGGCTGGCTGTGTCTGTCTGTGTCTGTGTCTGTGTCTGTGTCTGTGTGTCTGTGTGTGTAGTGTGGCCTCATCCTGGGACTCGGGCTTCAGAGTTGTCGGCCCACTTTCTGGAAGAGTTTCTTGCCTCGCAGGCACCTTCTCATCCTTCTCCATTAATTTCTGTGATATCTCTCCCTTGTGAGGACGAGCTGTAACGTTTTGTATTTTGGGCATATCCGCACAGGAAAACAAACGGCTGTGATAAGTAGCGCGGTGTGCCGTTAGAAGCTTTACGCAGCCTCGGCCTTAGGGCTGGATTCGCAGCGCTTGTTGAGGGGCAGCTCCGGACTCTGCTGAACGGGCTCTTCCAGGAGAAACGCTTTAAAAGCGGGAGCGAAGGACCTCTGAGGGCCTTGACAACTCTGACATCCGAGCTTTCCCCTGGCTTTCTCAGCTGCTGTCTGTCATTCTGACGGCTCTGCTTCCCTGCATCTAGTGATGCCACAGCCCAGCTCAGGTGCCGCCGCCCCCAGGAAGCCTTCCTGAGGTGCTCTCTGCTCGGAGCTCCACTGCAGCCGAGCTCCACTCGTGGCCTCCCAGGTTCCCTGCGGCCCGGGACTGACGTTTCCTCTCTCCCCAGGCCCCCGCAGCCCACCCCCCTCACCACTGCGCCGTGTGCATGCAGTTCGTGCGGAAGGAGAACCTGCTCTCGCTGGCCTGTCAGCACCAGTTTTGCCGCAGCTGCTGGGAGCAGCACTGCTCCGTGCTTGTCAAAGACGGTGTGGGTGTGGGTGAGTGCTCCGGCCTTACAACACTGGCAGGGTCACCTCTGACTCGGCCCTTCCAGGGGCTCCGGTCAGCTGTGTGTCTTTTTAAAAACAGCGTTTTCATTGACTTCAGAGAGGTAAAAGCATCACTGATGAGAGAGAATCGTCAATCAGCTGCCTCCCCTGCAGCCTAGGTATGTGCCTGACTGGGAATCGGCAGGTGACCTCCTGGTTCGTGGCTCAACCGCTGAGCCATGCCGGTTAGGCGACTACGTGTCTTCTAAGCCTGATTGCCGTTGCCGTCACAACCATTGCTTTCCACACCTCAGTCTCACTGACCGCGTGCTCCCATCCTGAGCGACAGGAGAAGCTAAGGCTGCTGTTCAGTCCCATGTGGAGGGGGTGTGAGTGCAGGGCCACCTCTCGGAGGCTTTGGGAGCGCTGTCCGCACCCTGCCGCCTGCCCTCCTCACTCCCCACAGGCAGCCCTGCCCTCCTCACTCCCCACAGGCAGCCCTGCCCTCCTCACTCCCCACAGGCAGCCCTGCCCTCCTCACTCCCCACAGGCAGCCATTGCGCAGCCACCAGAGGGCTCGTGCTGTGTAGGCAGCAGCACAGTGTGTGGTGAGGGGCGGTTAAGGGATATTTGTTAGACTGTAACCTGATGATGTTGACACAAGATTGGCCTCCGATTAATTGTGTCTGCAAACCTCGTGTCGGTGGTAAGCACTTGCACGTAATATTAAACATTACAAAACTCAGTTGTTAGTTAGTAACCATATAGGGTTTTTAAACAAAAGTTTAAACCATTGTGATGTGTATGTCATTTGGAACAATGTTTAGTTACATCACTGTGCAAATGTATCAGTGTCTTTCTTTGAGGCTGTTCTGTTGTTTCAAGGGTTTCCTATGTGGAACCGAATCTCTGGTTGAACTCAGGGGCAAATACGTTATGAGGAGGGGCCCAGGGCACAGATTCGTGCATCTAGAAAGGAACTGTGGGCTGAGGCTGCAGGCACAGGGACGGGTCTGGGCCCATCCTCCACACCCGCCTGCCATGGCCCCCAGTCCCGCCCGCTGCTCCCATGCGCTGATGGTGCCGCCCCACTCGCACCCAGTGACGGCAGCAGCGTTTGGGGACAGCGCTGTCAGCTGAGCAGCAGCTGCTGCTGCACCCATCACCCTCAGGAGCAGGCGGAGGGGGAGAAGCCCACAGGGGCCGGTAGCCGCTGCTCGCACCCACTGACCGACTGCTGATGGCACTGAACCATCAAGACCAGCGCCGGGAGCCCACAGTGGGTGCAAGCAGTGGAGCCCTCTGGGGTGTAAGCGGGGCTAGCACCGGCAGTGGGTGCGAGCACTGGCAGGACTGCAGCACGCGGAGCAAAGACTTTTCAGTAACCACCAGAGGCTCACCCAGTGGCAGCTACTGCGATCCACCTCTGTCTGGCCCCTGCTCACCTGCTCCACCTTCCTGCTGCAGTAGACACCCGCCATGTTCCACACTCGCCCCCCGGTGGTCAGCGCATGTCATGGCGACCAGTGCTCAGTTGTGCAGTTGGATCTATTTGCATATTAGGGTGTTTTTTATATTTATATATATATATATATACAAGTGGTGACTCCTGCAGTGCAGCTGTCGATCTGGGTCTTTGTTCCACAGGAGTCTCTTGCATGGCTCAGGACTGCCCACTTCGAACACCAGAGGACTTTGTGTTCCCATTACTGCCCAACGAAGAGCTCAGAGACAAATACAGGCGCTACCTCTTCAGGGACCACGTGGAGGTACGGCCGCCCTGTGGGTGCGCCCCTGCTTTCCTGGGCCTCCTTCCCCCGGTGCCCACCAGGGCTGCCATTAGGAAAGAGTTCCATGGCTCTAAAAGGCCAGGAACCACTAGAACGGCAGTGAACACAGACGCGGAGTCAGGCAGCCGTGAGTCCCAGGTCTGACACTTCCCGCTGTGTAACCTACCCGTGATTGTGCCCTGAGCCGTGGTCTCCTGTAGCGTGGTCACCGCACGCACTCCGCTCCAGCAAGCCATCCACGCACCGGCAGCACATCAGAGTGGCTGTTCCTTTGGGTCACTGTGGCCAGCGGAGATGGGCAGGACAGCTTGCCCATGACTCCAGCACGGCCAGTCTCAGAGTCTGGCCCTCGGTCGGGCTGCCCGTTAGGCGTGCTGGTTTTCTGTGACATTGTTCCACCGTGCCACGCCAAAGCGTATTGGTTGATTGAAGGTCTGGTCTTCTCATGCGCAAGCTGCAGACCCCACAGATGCCTGGCTCCGCGTGCTGCTGGCTGCCTCTGTAAACACCGGGCTGCGGAGCTCCCTGGGTCCGTCCAGCTGGGTGCCTTCGCGTTCCCATCTCACAGACGCAGTGGTGCATCCCGCTTTGTGATCTGATGTTAGACCTTTCAGTGAGTTTAACTCACGTTCAGAGCCTTCAGTATCTGCCCATTGGCGGCCTCACAACAGTCCCCGGGAATCCTAGAGCCCGTCATGTCAGCATCAGCTGGACGAACAGGGTGTTTGAGTGCTCGGGTCTCCTTGGGGGCAGCGACTGGGAGTGGCCTCATGTTTCCCCTTGGTGTGCACACAGAGTCATTACCAGCTCCAGCTGTGCCCCGGTGCGGACTGCCCCATGGTCATCCAGGTGCAAGAGCCCCGAGCTCGCCGTGTGCAGTGCAGCCGGTGCAGTGAGGTCTTCTGGTAAGAGAGGGTGTGGGTGCCGAGCAGCCTGGCTCCGTGCCGCCGCACAGGCCGCTGCTGCTGGGCGCGGGGGGAGGGGGGAGATGGGCTGTGGAGCAGGAGAGCAGCTCCGCTCCGGGGGAGGGGCCGCCTCATGTTCCAGGTCATGTTGGGGAAAGCTCGGTCTGCAGACTAGGACGGGGCAGGTGCTGGGAGAAGGTGCTGTGGTTTATGCTGCTAAGACTGACTCAGAGGTTTGATTTCTCTGCCTGCACAGATAATTTATTACTATTTACATGCTCAGCGTTTTAACCTTTCTCTGTGACTCACCCTGTCCTTCACGAACATGGCATACAGCCATTGGGGCTTACCCCCTGCAGTAAGAAAGATGGGAAGAGCGACATGTGCTGAAGGGTAAGGCCTTGCCCTGACCCGCGGCCTCCGTGTTCCCACAACGTGTGGGCAGCACTGTTGTCTTCCTTGAGGGTGAGGAAATGGAGGTGCAGGGTATTGGCAGGAGTCATCCTCAGGCCCAGACCTGTGCCCCAATCCCCCCTCCCGAGAGCCCCCTGGAGGGACGGGCTCGGGCACCACACGGGAAGCGTGGCCCGTGCCCGTGGGCCGCCTTGGAGATGTCGTTGAGGGAATGTGTGACTCGCCGGCTCTCAGCCTCCATCCTGCTGGGTGAGCTCTCTTGGGCAGGGGTGAGGCCGGCTCCTGTGCCCCGTCCTGCCCTCAGCGGTGGGGCTGGGCCAGAGGGACAGGCAGGTCCTGGGGGCCGAGCCTGGGGAAGGTGTGCTCTGGCTGAGTGTCCTGCGCTGTTGGGGTGTCCTGCTGCTGCGCCTGGACAAGCTGGCGTTTGTGCCCCTGTGTGCACGTGTGGCTGGGGGCGTTTGTGCCCCTGTGTGCATGCGTGGCTGGGGGCGTTTGTACCCCTGTGTGCACGCGTGGCTGGGGGCGTTTGTGCCCCTGTGTGCATGCGTGGCTGGGGGCGTTTGTGCCCCTGTGTGCACGTGTGGCTGGGGGCGTTTGTGCCCCTGTGTGCACGCGTGGCTGGGGCTGAGCCCAGGCTCCCGAAGGGGCTCGTCCTGCTCTTGTCTGCGCGGAGGCATTTCAGCAGCATCTCCGTCGGTAAAGGTCTGGAAGCCTGGATCGGTGGCTTCCCTTTGAAAAGCTCTGCCTCAGGACCTGCTGGCTTGGACACGAGGACAATGAAAGCCTGACCTACTGAGTATTTGAGTGTTTTTCTTTCTGGTTTTAAGTTTCAAGTGTCGTCAGATGTATCACGCCCCCACAGACTGCGCCACCATCCGGAAATGGCTCACGAAGTGTGCAGACGACTCGGAGACCGCCAACTACATTAGCGCTCACACTAAAGACGTAAGGAGCGTGTCTTCCCTGTGCTCTGCCGCTCGTGCTGCGGGGCCTGCAGGCCGGGCGGAGGTGGCCGCGCTTTGTCGCAGTGCGCGCTGCTGGGCGATTCATTTTGGTCCAGTGCTGAAACGCCGGGCAAGTTAAGGAACTAGTTAGGAGAAACTAGTTTCTTGAATGCTCCGAGGCTTTCATATCCCCGGGAGGGAGGTGGGCAGTGTAAGAGTAGTAATTCCCTAGTTTATAAGTTTGTAATGGAGTAAATAGAGAGAGAGCACACCTAACAAAGAGTCTGTGGAGGCCCAGTGCTTGTCCTGCGCCTTCCCTGGGAAAGCAGGGCCCGCAGCCCCTGGAGCCCAGGGGACTCGGCACCCAGGCACTGCCCGTGCCCGTCACGTTCCCAGTCCCGGCTGTGGCCAGGACGTCATTAACGGGCTGCGTGGTGGCACGGCCCAGCCGGTGTCTGTGGGGCACCTCTCAGGAGCGAGCGGCTTCAGAGGCTGTTTTTGTGCCTCTTCCGAAGCAGGAGAGCGGGCAGCTGCCAGGACGTGGCCGCTCTGGCGCACTCCCACCCGGGCAGGCTTTCTGCTGACCGGCTGCTGCTGAGGCGAGGGCCCTGGCGGGACGGGTGGCGGCGGGCTCAGTGGGCTCAGCTGGTGCGTGAGTGTTTCCGAGCCCAACGTGCTGACCTCCTTTCCTTGGATTGCTGTTCCAGCCTCAGCGACCAGCACATTTAAGTGACTGCTCCTCCCAGCAGTGCTCGCCCGATGAGTCACTGGGCACAGGTGCCAGGCGCTTTGTGTAAGTGTTTAGCCGCCTGGTGGTGCGTGAGCCTAACGGCGCCCTTTGTCTCCTCAGTGTCCCAAGTGCAACATCTGCATCGAGAAGAACGGAGGCTGCAATCACATGGTGAGCGGAAGCCCGTGCCCTTTGCATGTGTGACACACGTGGTCAGCGGGCCCTTAACGTGTTCTCTCTATTTCCCTCGACAGCAATGCTCCAAGTGCAAACACGGTGAGTCCCGGTGTGGTGTGCAGGCCAGGCCCAGCCTGCCTGTGCACGGGCTCCGCTGCTTGTGTGGGGAGCAGATGAGGGCAGCCTGCGGCACTTACGTCTGACATTTACGTTCTCCTTTCGGACCTGTAATCCCTCTGCCATCCCTCGGCCACATGTAGTCAGAAGTCCAGGTGGGGGGGACTCTTAGACCCTCACGAATCCTCAGTCATCGGAAAGAGGTTTACCATGGCCTTTCTGTTTTTCCAAGGCAGGTGAGTAGCACGGGCTGGTCTGTGCTGCCTTCCGGTGGTCTCACTGGAGGGGGTAACCATTCGTTTCCCTCGAGGCTGCAGGAAGTTCCCAGAGGGGTTTGGACTTGGCCTTCAGGCCTTCTCCATTGTCAGGAGCCGCTTCCTTGGACCTGTGGGTTTTGCTTTCCTTCCTGCCAGATCAGTGAAGAGGGAGGAGTCCTTCAGGCAGGGATGTGTACACGTAGGTCTCCCGCGCGGCTGCCGAGGTGCTGCCTTTCTCCTCTTCGTAAGGGCTGACCTCTCTTGGGAAGTTGATCGGGTGACATCCCCGCCCCCAGCACAGTCTGTCCGTCCCCACTGCTTGGCCTTAGGAGGACTGGGGGCTTGTCCTGGACATGACCTCTCTCTGCTCCTGTTCTTCCTGAGAGTTCCCTGTGGTCAGGGGACTCAGTGCAGACAGGGTGAACCAGCAGCAAGCGCGGCCTCGCTGACGAGGGAGCAGTGTTGTCACGGTCCAGGCAGACGACAAGAGGGAGGGTGGCGTCTGGTCTCTGGGTGATGTCAGCTTTCCTGAACGGGACGGAGCACCTCGGGGAAGTCAGCCATGGGCGTGGGTCCTGGGAGGCGGGCTTCCTGCTGTCCGGGCCTGGCAGACAGGCACACCCGCACTGGCCTCTAGCCGGCGGCCCGGGCCTCCCTCCCAGACCGCAGCTGTGGGACGTGGAGCGTCCGGAGGATGTTTGGTTCCTCTTTGCTTCCCCTGCAGAAGCAGAGCCGTAATTCTGAGTGTGACTGCGGAGTGGCTGTAGGTTAGGGAAAGCGCTTTTAAACAAGAAGGAAGGGGAATGCCCTCTTCCAGCTTCCTGGACAGGCTTCCTGGGGAGAGGGCAGGGCGGGAGGTGGGCGGGAGGCGTGTGCGCTGTGCTGAGCCTCCATTGGACAAGTCCCTGCCGTCCTGTTCTCACAGTGGCCGGACACAGCAGGCCACCGGTGCTTGCTCTGTGCTTAAAAAAGTCTTACTTTGCCAAAACTGGTTTGGCTCAGTGGATAGAGTGTTGGCCTGCAGACTGTAAGGTCCCGGGTTCGATTCCTGTCAAGGGCATGTACCTTGATTGCGGGCACATCTCCAGTGGGGAGGGGAGTGCAAGAGGCAGCTGGTTGATGTTTCTCTCTCATCGACGTTTCTAGCTATCTCTCTCTCTTCCTCTCTGTGTAAAATCAATAAAATATATTAAAAAGTCTTACTTTCCAGTTACAGTCCACATTCAGGGTTATTTGGGTTCGTTTCTGGCGTGCCCTATAGCGGTTAGACAGTTAGACACCTGACGGTAACATTTCACTGCTGCCTGGCCCCGTACTCGCTGTTGTTAACCATCCTCTGTGCTGCATTGGGCAGACCAGTGGTCTGTACGTCACACCTGCCTGCACCGGTGAGACGGGCACACAGCCATGTGCTCACGGAACTGTCCTTTAGATCGGCACGGGCAGCTGCAGGGACTGGGATCGGGGGACAGGCCCTCATTCCTCCGGAAAGGGGGCGTCCTTGGGAAGTTGATCAGGTGACATCCCCGCCCCCAGCACAGTCTGTCTGTCCCCACTGCTTGGCCTTGGGAGGACTGGGGCTTGTCCTGGGAGTGACCCCCCTCTCTCTGCGCAGACTTCTGCTGGATGTGCCTCGGCGACTGGAAGACCCACGGCAGCGAGTACTACGAGTGCAGCCGGTACAAGGAGAACCCCGACATCGTCAACCAGAGCCAGCAGGCGCAGGCCCGGGAGGCCCTCAAGAAGTACCTGTTCTACTTCGAGCGGGTAGGCTCTCCTCGGCTGCTCCCGGAGGGGCCTGGGCAGCGCTGCGGGGCGGCATCCCAGTGACTGGCCCAGGGCCACGTGCACAGAGGGCAGGCTGGCTCCACAGGGCGTGGCTGACAGAAAGGACGTGGTGCTGACTTGGTGTGCGGGCTGGATGGAAGGTCAGGAAGGGACCGTCAGTGCCATCTTAGCCGTCAGATTTTGAGGGCAGTTCCTCCCAGGGAGACGCTTCAGCAGCTCACAGAGCGCGGCACGCGTGGTTTCTGAGCACGTAGACCAACGAGTCTCACACAGTCCGTCCTCAGGCTGAGCCTGCTGCCCGGAGGGTGGCGTGGTCTGGCAGACAGGCGCTGCTCTGGACACCCGCCCTCGTTGCCCTCGAGGTCACACAGTCCCCGTAAGTTAGACGAGGCTGTGGCTGGGCCCTTCCAGCCCAGCTATCTCTTCTGGACCCTGTGCCGCCCCAGGGCCCCTGCAGCCGCCTCCTCCCTCTGCCCGCAGTGGGAAAACCACAATAAGAGCTTGCAGCTGGAGGCGCAGACGTACCAGCGGATTCATGAGAAGATCCAGGAGCGCGTCATGAACAACCTGGGGACGTGGATCGACTGGCAGTACCTGCAGAACGCTGCCAAGCTCTTGGCCAAGGTCTGTACTCCTCCCTCTCCTGAGCCCTGTCCAGTGCCTGGCCCTGGCAGACCCCGACCGCAGGGGGAGAGACCCCGAAAGGGGCTGGGCCGTTAGCACCCTGTGCAGGCCGCATACTTCTGCTCACGGTGCACAGTCCCCCGGCTGTGCCCACTGAGGACCAGGCCTCTGCTGGTGTCCAGGGGGTTCCACCAAGAGAACCACTGTGGCGAGACTAGACCCCTTTTCTTTTGTCCCATCATGCATCACTCAGGAAAATAAGATTTTGTCTTTGGACAGTTATTGAGATAGATGTGTGGACTCTGATGTCCGACTCAAGAGGGAAGAGCCATTGAGGCAGCTGCTGGTAAATAAATCCCAGGTTGGAAGGAACGGGGTGTCTGTGGCCACTTTTGTTTCCTCTCTCCATGTGGTCCCCTCCATCTTTATTTGGCGAGGTCACTTCTCAGGCCCATCCTGTGGAACCAGGTGACCTGCATGGTGGGGAGAGAACTGCAAAGGCCACCGATGCGTGTGGCCGGAATCAGACACAGGGCCCTTCTCTTCTCCTCTCCCCGTTGCAGTGTCGCTACACCCTGCAGTACACATACCCGTATGCCTACTACATGGAGTCCGGGCCCAGGAAGAAGCTGGTAAGGCGCAGCAGCCCCTCCACTCTGCCCTCCGAGCACCAGAGGTGCTGGTTATGTGGAGGCCAAATTAACACAAAACTGTCGTCTTTAAAGTGTATTTCTCTTCCAGGCATCTCCAGAATAAGTCTCATCCCCCAAAGCTGGCATTTTGTGTAATAACAGCCCGAGTGCCCCACTGTTTTTCACTGTTATAAATGAGACGTGTAGGAACATCTTTGTGCATAAAGCTTGGATGTACAATTACTAAGGCAACTGGCTCAACTATTTTAAGAGTTGATTTGCAGCCCTAGCCGGTTCGGCTCGGTGGATAGATAGAGTGTTGGCCTGAGGATTGAAGAGTCCCAGGTTTGATTCTGATCAAGGGCACATGCCCCCGGGTAGTGGGGGCTCGATCCCCAGTAGGGGATGCACAGGAGGTTGTTGATCAGTGATCCTGTCTCTATCCCGCTCCCTTCCTCTCTGAAATCAATAATATATATATATGTATACACACACACACACACACACACACACATACACATACATACATATACATTTTAAAAAGTTGATTTGCAGAAGGGCTAAAGAAAAACAGTATTCAGGGAATACAGTGTCTGTGAATAGCCATCCATTGATTTTTAAAGTATTTGTTTCCCTAAATGCTGGGAGCATTGTCTTCAGTGGCTTCAGTTCTTGCCTGTTCTTTGCGGTGGTGAGGGGGTGCCCTTGCCATTTGTACTCTTAGGTAGCCTTAATATATATATATATATATATATATATATAGATAGATAGATAGATATAGAGAGATTTTGGAGAAGAAGGGAGTGGGAGAAATAGAAACATCAATGGTGAGAATCACTGATTGGCTGCCTCATTCATGCTCCCCACTGGGGATAGAGCCCACAACCCAGGCATGTGCCCTTGACCAGAATCGAATCTGGGACCCTTCAGTCTGCAGGCTGACGCTCTATCCACTCAGCCACATTGGCCAGGGCCAGTTGGCCTTTTTTTTTTTTTTTTTTTAATTTATTGATTTTGTACAGAGAGGAAGGGAGATAGTCAGAAACATCGATGAGAGAGTCATCAATCAGCTGCCTCTTGCACACCCCCTACTGGGGATATGCCCGCAACCAAGGTACATGCCCTTGACCGGAATTGAACCCGGGGCCCTTCAGTCCCCAAGCCGATGCTCTATCCATTGAGCCAAACCGGTTTCGGCCAGTTAGCCTTTTAATTGGGTTCTGGCTCCTGGTACAGGGACTAGCACTGCCCTCTTGAGGTCAGCTTCAGGGTTGTCTGCTGCTCATGCGAGCCTGAGGTGCTGTGCCCGCTCCCCCCCCTGCCGCCGCCGCCCCCCCCCCCCCCCCCCCCCCAGTCTGCAGGCCCTGCCCTCTCCTTTGACCTTCCCGCTCTGCCCATACAGTTTGAGTACCAGCAGGCGCAGCTGGAGGCGGAGATCGAAAACCTGTCGTGGAAAGTGGAGCGCGCGGACAGCTATGACAGGGGGGTAGGTGCCGCTGCCGGGCTGCCGCTGAGGGAGGGTGACGGGTTCTGTGGCTGGAAGCTGCTGCGGAGAAGGGGGGTGGCTGTGCTGACTCCGGAGCCCGTCGTGACTGCCGTGCTGTGGCTGCTCAGGCTGGCCATGCAAGCACAGATTTGCTTCCCTGGCGCAGGACTTAGAAAACCAGATGCACATAGCGGAGCAGCGCAGGCGGACCCTGCTGAAGGACTTCCACGACACCTAGGCTGGCCTCGCGAGCTGCAGTGGGAGAGGCGCTGGAGGCCTCGGCGGCTGTTCTGCACGACCAGGGCTCTGCCTTCACACCAGGCCCGCCGGCCCGCCCTCCCGAGGCCCGGCACACACCTCATCCCGCTCCTGCTCACCGTTCTGTTTCTGCTGCGTAGAGGCCCTGTTGGATTGGCCTCTTCAGGATTTGAAATTCCCCCTGGATAGTTGTTGGGAGGGAGGGAACGTTTTTTTGAATGACTATTAATAGTATTAGCTCATTACAACTTATGTAATTTTTAAAGGTTGGGCAATTGTACCAAAAAAACAAACAGAAAGGAAGCCAACCCTAGAATCACACAGAACCTTTACAAATAAATTGGCGTTGGAGTGCTTGCCCTCTAGCTACTGTCCTCGGAACGCAGCTGCTCCTGCCGCCCTCCTGGAGGCGCACTGGAGGCCCGGCGGGCGGCCTCCGCCTCCAGAGACGCTTGGTGTTCGGGCCCAGGGGAGGGGCAGGGTGGAGGTGGGCACTGGTTTGCCTGTGCAACGGGTCTGGCACGGGAGCCGCCTGCCCCCTGCCCGCCCTGTCGGCCTCGGCCAGGCGCCCTGCGGGGCCTAGCAGTGCAGAGCAGGGCGTGCCACGGGGCTGGATCGATGTGCCCTGCGTGTCTGGGCTCATGGTGATTCTCGAGGGAAGGCTTACCCGGTGGCTCCTGGGCCAGAGCCCACAGAGCGTGGATGTGGGACAGGCGCTCCTCAAGGCAGAGCTCCACTCGCAAGGGGATCGTCCCCACACACAGGTGTTCTCTTTGGCCCCTTCTCCGCGGCAGCCTGCAGGTGGTGTGGCTGCCCCTGCTCACCAGCCTCCAGCCGTCCTCACCCTCGCGAGCCTCGGCTCAGGCAGTGTGGCCTGTTTGCAAGGCGTTTCCATGGCCACTGGGTGTCGGCCGGCTCGGGCTGGGCCTCTCCTCCAGGGTTTGCACAGTGGAGCCCAGATCCGGCGGCTCGCGTGGCGCCTGGTCCCGTGGCCCCGTGGCCCGGGAAGTTAAGCCTGGCCTGGGTTCTGTGGCTGTGGTGCCCCGGGAGAGGTGCTGAGGGACATGGACATGTGGGAATTCTCTGATGTTCATGCGCCCCAGGCACCACGGCTGTGAACTAACGGCTGGCCGGCAGCACACAGCGGGGGCGGGGCTGGCTGGGGGAGGGGGACAGGGGGAGTGTAGCCATGAACGGAGCGGGGTCCCTGCACCAGGACAGCCTCTGGGACCCGGTGGGTGTGGTCGCCTTGCTGGCTCGGGGATGGCTCGGCGGCTTGCCTTCCTCTGTCTTTGTACCACGTGGCCCAGGGCCCGGTGTGTTTGGACCGCACATCGCCGTGTACCCACCTGGGTCCGGTGGCGGCGGCCCCCTGGAAGGCCCTGTCCTCGGGGAGGCCCGGTGGTGGTCTGCCCGAGGGTGGAAGGTACAGAGGCACTGTGTTCTCATGAATTTGCCGAATCTTTGTTTTCTTCAAAGAAAAAGTTGAGGTAATGTCATCTGCTCCAAGTTGAGTGGTTTATTAAAAATAAACGGAGTTTCTGATTATAAGACTGCGTGTAGATGTCTTTCTCCCAAGGAGCCTCCGGATGCAGCAGCCGGGGCCTGGGCCCCACACAGACAGGCCGGCCTTGGGTCAGCCCTCCCAGGCCTGCGAGGGCCCATGGCCTGACCGCGTCTCTCTCTGGGGAGAGGACACTGGAGGGAGGTGGGGTAGCTGAGCTCCCGTCCCTCCAACCCCTCCCCTCCTGCCAAAGGACCCCTGGCTCCTCCACAGCCGAGGCCCTGGCCCCTTCATCAGCAGACTCCCGGCCCCTCCAGCGCGGATGGGAGCTTAGGCTGGGTGGGGTTGGTTAGACGGTCCTGGTTGTGGAGATGTTTGGAGTTATACCGTGGGCTGTGGGCTGTGGGCAGCTTGCACGGCAGTCAGGGCCAGAGAGGCCTGGACACTGCAGCCTCCGGGGCCTCCCTCTTGGGGACCTGGGGGGAAGTGGTCACCGGTGAGTGTTCTCTCTGAGGCAACGGCCACCAGCCACTCCTGCAGGCAGTGGGCAGAGTACCGTGGCCTGGCATCATGTCCTCGGCCATCTTTAAAAAAGAGTCCCTGGCCAGTGGATAGAGCGTAGGCCTGCAGACTGAAGGATCCTGGGTTTGATTTCGATCAAGGCACATAGCCAGTTGCAGGCCTGACCCCCAGTGTGGGGCATGCAGGAGACAGCCAATCAATGATTCTCATCATAGATGTTTCCCTCCCCCTTCCTCTCTGAAATCAATAAAAATAAATTTTAAAAAATGGGCCAAAACCGGTTTGGCTCAGTGGATAGAGCATTGGCCTGTGGACTGGAAGGTCCTGGGTTCGATTCCGGTCAAGGGCATATGCATTAGTTGCGGGCACATCCCCAGTAGGGGGTGTGCAGAAGGCAGCTGATTGATGATTCTCTCATCGATGTTTCTAACACTCTCTCTTCCTCTCTGTAAAAAATCAATAAAATATATTTAAAAAATAAATGGTTCCTTTCCCCTCAAAAAAAAAAAAAAAAAAAAAGTCTAGCCGAAACCAGTTTGGCTTAGTGGTTAGAGCGTCGGCCTGCAGACTGAAGGGTCCCGGGTTCGATTCCGGTCAAAGGCATGTACTGTGGCTTCAGGCACATCCCCAGTGGGGGGTATGCAAGAGGCAGCTGATCGATGTTTCTCTTTCATCGATGTTACTAACTCTCTATTCCTCTCTCTTCCTCTCTGTAAAAAATCAATAAAATATATTTTTTTTAAAAAGAAAGCTAGGGGCGGGGCTTTTCCACGTGGTCCCGGGGTTTCCTGCAGCAATCAGCACTGCCCATGGGCGGCTCTGCTGGGAGCCCTGAGGGCCAGCGTGGACCTGGGCTTGTTAAACCAATCCCGTCCCCACGAGCCAATCACACTGACCGCCCTGAGCAGACCCGGCCAGTCCTCACGGCAGCCCACGCTCCATAGCCCACCTCGGGGGAGTGCACGTTAGGGGCAGGGAAGACCATTTGTAACAGCAGCGCCCAGAGGTGAGGGCCGGTGACAGCCGCTCCGGCCACCCCAGGAGGGATTTGGGCATCACGGTGGTGGGTTTTAAAAGGCCCAACTGTAGTTTACGGCCTGACTGTGAAGTCCCCACAGCCAACAGGTGTGGCGGGAATGGGGTGCAGCAGCCCCCCTCCCCTCAGTCGCCTGCTCCGCTGTTGGGATGAGCCAGCGGAGTGGACAGGGTAACAAATATAGGGGCATGGAGTTGGGAACGTGAGGATTTCCTGGTGATCTAATTGTAGGCTTTATTTTTAAAAATATAGTTTTTACTGAATTCAGAGAGGAAGGGAGAGGGCAAGAGAGAAACATCAATGATGAGAGAAGCATCCATCAGCTGCCTCCTGCACGCCCCCTCACTGGGGATCGGGAGATGACGGGAATCAAACCTTGACCTCCTGGTTCACAGTTCGATGTTCAGCCACTGAGCCCCACCAGCCGGGCTAATTATAGATGTTAAAAGGCTAAAGAAGAGCCCTAGCCAGTTTTGCTCAGTGGTTAGAGTGAAGGATCCTGGGTTCGATTCCAGGCCTGATCCCTGGCCCCCGTCAGGGCTCGTGGGGAAGGGCAACCAATTCATGTCTCTCTCTCATCGATGTTTTCTCTGTCTCCCCCTCCTTCCACTCTCTAAAAATCAATGGAAAAAATGTCCTCGGTGAGGATGAACAAAACAAAAGGCTGAAGGGGAAATGGTCTCAACGTGGACACCAGAAAACCATGACATCCTGGTAAAATAGTGGCCAGAAAATGCAGACTGCTTTTGGGGGAAGAAGTGGGGGGAAAGCGGAAACCACCAGAGGGACTTCCTCACTGGTGTTACTGGCACGTGCCTCCTGAGGCTAACCCAGCCTGGAGAGCTGGGCGCCTAAAGATGCCCAGCGGGCACCTGGCCCCGCACGTCCTTCCACCCCAGACGGGGCAGTGTCCTCGGAGGCGGTGTCTCCAGGATGGACAAGTCCTTTCTCCCTCCTCCCTCAGCCGGCTGGGAGGCAGGAGAGGTCCCCCGAGCACCTGCTGCGCCCTGGGGGTCTCTTGGGGATCTGACCTTCCCGGGAGGCCTCCTCCGTGAGGCCCTCCGACCAGCCCTGGCCGCCCCGGGTCTGTGCCACCCCGCATATCCGCAACTTCTCCCTGAGCCTGGCTCCCGCAGGCCTCCGGGGGGCCAGGCCGACCAGAGCGGCCCTCCAAGGCGTCCTCCTACCGCCCCCCAGGCGACCTGACCGCCTACCCCGGCCCGTGTCGGCGCCTAAAGCTACGGTCCCATTCCGTCACGTGCGCGCCCCGGCCTCCCGCCCGCACCCGGCGCCGCACTGCGTCATCCTGGCTCGGCCTCCCGCAGCCCCGCACCGGAGCGAGGGCGCGCGGAGCCCACGCCTCCGGGAGGGGAGGGCGTCTCAGCCGGGAGACCAAGCGCCTGACCGCGCCGACCGGAGGGCGCCCCTCCCTGCGGACCCGGCTCGGGGAGGCGCCCGTGCGGGCCGGGCCCGGGGCGCGGGGGCCCGGGGCCGCGGGGCCGCGGGCGCAGCATCCCCGGGCGCCGTCTCCTAGCGACCGCGGCGCGCGCGGCCTCGGCGGTTGCCCGGGCAACGGCGGGCGCGGCGCGGGCATCCCCGCGGCCCCTCCCCTGGGCGCGCGCGCGACCGGGGCGCCATGGCGGCGGCGGGCCTGCGGCCTGAGGCCGGGAGCCCGCAGTGGGCGCCGGCGGAGCGGGACCCGGCGGCGGCGGCCCGGCCGGCGGACGGCGAGGACGCGCCGGTGCGGCCGCTGTGCAAGCCCCGCGGCATCTGCTCGCGCGCCTACTTCCTGGTGCTGATGGTGCTGGTGCACCTGTACCTGGGCAACGTGCTGGCGCTGCTGCTCTTCGTGCACTACAGCGACGGCGGCGGCGGCCCCGCGGCCCCGCGCCGCGCCCCCGGCCCGCCGCCCGCGCCCGCGCCCGCGCCGCTCGCCCGGCTCGAGGGCATCAAGGTGAGGCCCGCGCCCCGGCCCGGCCGGGCCCCCGCGCTGCTCCCCGGGCCCCCGCCTGGCCCCTGCGCCGGGCGCCTCCCCCTCGGCCTGGCGCCCGCGCTGCCCGCCTGCCCTCCCCGCAGGTGGGACACGAGCAGAAGGTCCAGCTGGTGGCCGACCGGGACCACCTCGTCCGGACCCTGAGCCTCAAGCCGCTGCTCTTCGGTGAGTTGGCGGCGGGAGGGCGGGGGCTGCGACGGGCCGCAGAGGCTCGTGCTGGCCACGTGACTTTGTTTTGAAAATGGCTGTTTCCAGGCCCCCCGCCCCCCCTTTTCCAGCCCAAAGCGAAGCGCCCGCCCCACCTCGGTCCGGGGAGACCTCTCCGCCCTCGCCCCCTGACCCTCTTCTCTGCGGCGATGCTCCCTCCTCCCTCCTCCCCGGGGCAGGGTGACCCGAGGCCCAGCCGCCCGCAGGCCCCTCCCGTCAGTGTCGCCTCTGTGATGGGCCGGGAGGGCCGATAAGCGGCCGCTGACCGGGCCTGTGGTCTGATGAGAAACAGGCGTCCAGCTGTGGATAGAGGGGACCCACCGCCCGCCCTGCCCCGGAGCCTGCTCTGCCCCCAGCACCAGCCTCTGCCCCCGGCACCCAGCCTCTGCCCCCAGCACCCAGCCTCTGCCCCCGGCACCAGCCTCTGCTCTCGGCACCCAGCCTCTGCCCCCAGGACCCAGCGTCTCCCCTCAGCACCCAGCCTCTGCCCTCAGCACCCAGCACCCTGCACTGGGCCGCAGGCTGGTGCTCAGCCTCAGGAGCCGCCTCTGGTCCCCGGCTGCACTCTCGTGCTGGGCTCCACGCCACCCTGTCCGTCCTCACAGCCTGTCCGTGAGGTGGGTGTAGACACCCCTTCTCGGGGTGGAGGGTGAGAAAGGGGGCGCAGAGCTGGGGACCAGCACCAGGCAGAGAAGACTGACAGCAGGGTGGGCCGGACCCATGCCCTGGCCCAGCCTGAGACCCGGCCACTGCAGGAGGGAGGGGGCAGGAGACTCCAGGAGGGGCTGGCGCCACAGCAGGACCTCTGAGCTCATGCCCTCCTGAGCAGCGGGCGGCGGGGCCGGTGCCTGGCCCCGGAGGATGGCCCCTGCATGCTGTTTGAGGGGAGACAGGGTGTTATGTCAGCTCCCTGGAGGGCGGTGGTTGCAGTTACATTATTCCTATTGCATTGCACAGAGATAACGTCTGTGCCAAGCACGACTTTAGGTGCTGGAAACACAGAACAAAATAGGACACACACACACACACACACACACACACACACACCCCGGAAGCTGACATTCAAATGAGACAGACAATAAGCTAATCCCACATAAAACCCTGGTATGCAGATCAGCTGAACTGCAGAACAACAGGCAGGACCACCAATCGCTATGATGCGCACTGACCACCAGGGGGCAGACGCTGAATGTAGGAGCTGCCCTGGTGGTGTGTGCGCTCCCACAGGGGGCACCGCTCAGCCAGAAGCCGGGCTCAGGGCTCAGGGGAGGCCCAGTGGCAGGGCAGGATCCCCTCCCTCCTCCTCCTCCTCCTCCTCCTCCTCCTCCTCCTCCTCCTCCTCCTCCTCCTCCTCCTCCTCGGAAGCACTAGGAGCAGGGAGCAGAGGGTAAGGAGCAGCGAGCAGGCAGGCGGTAGGGAGTGAGGGGTCCCGAACTGCGAGAGGGTGCAGGCCGGCTGAGGGGACCCCCTCCCCCAGAGCAGGATCTTCATGCACTGGGCCTCTAGTAAGTAAATAAACACACGTGTGTCAGAGGTGACAGGAGGTCACAGACGGTGAGGCAGGATTCCACGTGGGGCTGGGCCCTCATGGGTGGACAGGTGGCCTCCCTGAAATGGGATTTGAGCACAGACCGTGGGAGTGGAGGGGTCCAGCCAGGTGGCCGTCAGTTTGGGGTTTAGGAACACTCCCCCATTTCCTGGAGGCTGCATCCTGGGGCCGTCTGTGCTCCCATCAGCCGCAGGTTAGGTTCGCTGGCACCTGAGGACTCAGTTCCCAGCCCTGAGCCCCAAGCCCAGGTCCAGGTCCAGGGCAGGTGCAGGGAGCAGGGGCGACGTGACCGCAGGTGAGTTGCCCCGGGTCACAGAGGGTCAGGACTCCCTGCGGGTGCTCACTTCCCAGACGCCCTTGCCTTGGAGTCTGTTGGGGGAAGAGGTCCAGGCTTTACCCAGGAAGCCCTGGGGCCGGGTGGCAGTGGGGACTGAAGATGGCGCTGTGACGGGTGGGATGTGCGTCGTGAGGGACGCCCCGGGTGGCACTGGATGAACCCACAGGGGCCGCCCGCAGGAGCCATGTCTGCCTGCCTGTCCGTCCGGTGTCACCGCAGAGGCAGGGAGGCCCGGGGAGTGGCCGCTGCGGTCTGCCTGCTGCTTGTGGCTCCTGGACCCGCCAGCCTGAGGGCCGAGGTGCGGGGTCAGGACACAAGCTGGGCTAGGGGCACTGTCCGACCTGGAGATGGAGGCGCCACCCGTGGGGAGCATTCCCTGTTTGCCACCTTGTCACTAGACAGGTGGGACCTGGGCCGCAGGAGGGCCCATCCCAAGCCCCAGCCAGTTTTGCTCAGTGGGTAGAGCATCGGCCTGCGGACTGAAAGGTCCCAGGTTCCATGCCAGGGCACACGCCTGGGCTTCAGGCTCCATCCCCAGCAGCCGGTCCGTGGTTCTCTCTCATCACGGGTGTTTCTCCCTCTCCCTTCCTCTCTGGCTTCAATAAAAACACATCTTGAAAAGGCCCAAGTCCCTGCGCGCCCGCCTGGCTGGAGCCCCCGGCCCCGGGCTGTTGGGCTGAAGGCAGTGGTCACCCCTCCGGGAAACGGTTCCTCCAGGCGCGCCTTCCCGTGGCAGGGCCAGCCGCTCACCGCCCTCCCGGGCGCCCCCGGGTCCTGGCTCCGCCAAGCCCGCTGCCTCGCGGGCCCTCCCGCCTCCCTGACGCTCCGGGCTCCGCACGCGCCCGGCCCAGCGGCTCCCGCCGGCGGCGGCGCCCGAGGATGCGCGGCCCGCGCGGGGGCTGCCGGCGGAGGGCGGCCCGGGCTCCCGCTCCTCAGAGTGGCCGCCAGGGGGCAGCCTCCCGCTGGGGGCGGGCGCTCAGACCGGGCTCCGCACCCGGCGGGGTGAGGCGAGGCCACCGCTCCGCGGTTGCTGGGCAACGACACCTGGTCACCTAGCAACACCCTGGCTTTTCTGCTCGCTGCAATCTGCCCTTTCCCGCAGCCCTCACCCCGCGCTCTGTCCACCTTCCCACCCTCCCCCGGACTCACTCTGTCCTCCTCCCCCCGGACCCGCGCTCTGTCCTCCTCCCCACCCTCCAGCGCCTGGGAGGCCCGCTCAGGCCTGCGCTCCTCTCCTGGAGGGGATCCCGCCCTCCCGCCCGCCCCAAACGCCTGCGGGCCCGGTTTCCAGCCCGGGGCCCTGGCGCAGCTGCGGGCCCAGCAGGTGTGCAGGGCTGTGCGGCCAGGGCCAGGCTGGGGAGGACGGAAAGGCCCCGCTGCGCCTGCTCCACCTCCACACCTCCCGGGGCCCAGCCCCAGCCTGAAGGGCTGCCCCCCAGGAGCCCCTGATGCCTTGTGGGCCCAGACCCAAGGGGGTCCCCCCTCCAGGAACCCTGCCCGCCCCCCACCCCCCACCCCCACCCCCCTCAGCACCAGGCACAGGTGGGCGCCCACAATGGTTAGCGAAGCGCTGCCAGCCCAGGCCCTGGCTGAGGAGCGCCCGCACCTGGGAGCCCAGCCCTACCCGTGGAGCACGTGGGGGCGGGGGGGGAGGCGGGCATCAGCTGGCACTCTCTGGCCGGCAGGGCAGCACTGGCCCTGGTGGTGGTCCAGCAGGTTGGGCAGCCGCGTCCCCCAGGAGCCAGTGTCCTGGCACAGTGCCGTGGCCAGGGAGCCCCCATCCCACTGTCACCCCACAGCACCACCAGTGCCACCAGGAGCCACAGCCCTCCGGCACCCCTCTCTCTCCTTGGCCGGAATGGGCCGAGGGGGAAGCTTTACAGGGGTCCTCGTTCCAGCTCCCCGGCTGCTGTGGGGCTGGCGAGGGGCCCACAGCTCCCCGGCCTGACTCCGGAGCAGAGAGACACGGAGCAGGCTTGTCCCCAAAGCAAAGCGCCTTCTCGGAGCTCCTGCCAACAGCCTGCATGGCCCCCCGGACCCCCCCTACCCCCCAGCACCAGGCAGCTCGCCCCGGTCCGCGGACCAGCATCTGCCTGGGCAGCAGCAGGAGGGCGAGGGGCCTGAGCACGCATGGCTGGCTGTTGTTTGTTCTCAGTGATGAAGGCTGAGAAATGAAAATGAAAGCAAAGCCAGCCGCTGGCCCTCCATTTGCAAAACACACCTCCCTGCCAGGCTGGGCGGCTCTGTGGTTGAACACTGACCCAGAATCAAGAGGTCACCATTCGATGCCCGGTGGGGCACATGCCACGGAGGGGGCGTGCAGTAAGCAGCCAATCAACGGTTCCCTCTCATATTTGACTTTTTAAAAAAATGTATTTTTGCCGAAACTGGTTTGGCTCAGTGGTAGAGCGTTGGTCTGTGGACTGAAAGGTCCCAGGTTCGATTCCGGTCAAGGGCATGTACCTTAGTTGCGGCCACATCCCCCGTAGGGGGTGTGCAAGAGGCAGCTGGTCGATGTTTCTCTCTCATCGATGTTTCTAGCTCTCTGTCTCTCTCCCTTCCTCTTCTCTGTAAAATATCAATAAAATATATATTTTTTAAAATGTAATTTATTAATTTCAGACAAAAAGAGAGAGAGAGAAGCATCAATGATGAGAGAGAAAGATCAGCTCCCTCCTGCACGCCCCACACTAGGGAGTGAGCCCACCACCCGGGCCTGTGCCCGGACCGGGAATGGAACCGTGACCTCCTGGCTCCTAGGTCGATGCTCAGCCCCTGAGCCAGCCGGCCGGGCTCATCATTGAAGTTTCTGACCCCCTCTCCCTGCCTCTCTCTGAAATCACCTGAGAACAATAAAGCAAAACCTGTGCCGAGTGAGAAGTGGGGGCCGCGCTCTGCCCTCAGGGTCACCCTCTGGCCTCTGGTTCCCTCCGAGGGCTCTGCCCCGGGCCCAGCTCAGCTCCCCCCCCCCCCCCCCCCCCGGAAAACGCGGCCTGCCCCCCGGGGCCGCCCTCCTGGCGGGGACCAGAGCAGGCCAAAGGGGCGCGGAGCTCTGACCTTGAGCTCGGGGCGTGCGGGCCCTGGAGAGGAAGGCCGCCTCAGCCGCCCCCCCCCCCCCCCCCCCGCAGAGGTGCCCGGCTTCCTGCGGGACGAGGAGTGCCGCCTCATCGTGCACCTGGCGCAGATGAAGGGGCTGCAGCCCAGCCAGCTGCTGCCCACGGAGGAGTTTGAGGAGGCCATGGGCGCCGTGCAGCTCCACCCGCTGGACCTCTTCCGCCTGCTGGACCGCAACCACGATGGCCGCCTGCAGCTCGGCGAGGTGGGCCTGGAGCAGCGCGGGGAGGGGTGTGTGTGTGTGTGTGTGTGTGAGGTGGTGCGGGGAGGGTGCTGACGGGGTGGGGTGCTGCAGAATGGGGTCTGAGGCCAGGGTACCTCCTCAGCCCTGGCCCCAGCAGATCAGCGGGCCCAGGCCCTGGCCCCTCCTTCCCGGGAGAGGTCCTTGCTGCCCGGAGCCCCAGGAGCCGGAGGACCGCCTGGCAGGGCTGCCCGTGTGGCCACAGCTCCGGGGGGGGGTCCTGCCCGCAGTCTGCGTCCCGGCAGCCGTGCTGGGAGCCCACGGAGCCCCTGTGCGTGCAGTGGCAGCGCCGAGGTGGCCAGGGTCTGAGAGGGCCTGGCGAGGGGGGGTCCCCTCCTAACAGGGTGCCCTGGCCCTCAGGGCTCTTGACCTCCTTCCTGGACTCCCAGACCTCTCCCCGCTGTCACCCACAAAAGGGGAGGCTTGTCCTGTGCCCTCTCCCATGTCCTCCCCTGACCCCCAGCCCCACAGCGCCAGCCGGGTGGCTGTGCTGGGCTCCATCGCTGGGGCCGCCTCAGGGGGACCGTCTGTGCCCAGGTCCTGGCCCAGACCCGCCTGGGGAGCGGGCGCTGGATGACTCCGGAGACCGTGCAGGAGATGTACGCCGCCATGAAGGCCGACCCTGACGGAGACGGTGAGCCCCGCCTGCTCTGTCGGGCAGTGTACCTCGGCCGCCTGCTCCCGCCTCCAGGGCGGCCGAGCCCGTACCCTGGGGACCGTCCGGAGGGCGGCTCTTGGCGACCTGTGCCCGTCGCCATTGGGAGTCTGGGCGCAGGAAGTGGGTTGCTGGCTGGCAGAGGGCGGGGAGAGAGGGAAGGGACAGTGATGCCGGCCTGAGCTCAGCTGTTCACCGCTCCCTCTGCCTCCCGCCAGCAGGGTCTGCCCAAGGCCTCCCTGCCTCCCTCTTGCCCCTGGAGTCGGTCTCCCTGCGGGGCAGGTGTGGGCAGGGAGCTATCAGACACGGGTGCCCCCCCCCCCACACACACACACTTTGGCCATAACCCTCCGGAGCTTTCTGAAGTGCAGTCATCACTCTCCTGCCCAAGTTTGGAAGATGCAGCAGTCGGGTAGGCCTTGGGAGAGGGCCTGTGGCGTGAGCCCCGAGCAAGAACCAGCGGACCCGGCAGAGCCAGAGCGTGGGCGTGCCGCCGCTGTGCAGGCACCCCGCCCTCGAGGGTCCCCCATCCCCGGAGAAACTTGGCCAAAGGGTGGAGGTGTCTCCTCTGGGCCAATCAGGACAGTAGGAGCCACTCAAGATGGGACGGGGTCATAAAGAAGCTTCTGGGCCAGCCCTGCTGCCCGATGGCGTGGAAGGCCGTGGCGGGCAGCCGCACTGCAGATCCCGGCGGGAGGGCCGGGGGGGCCGTGCCTGAGGCCCTGGCGGAGCCCACACTGCCTTTGGAGAGCCTGCCCTGGCCCATCTCATGGGGAGGGGAGCCTCTCCTGGGTCTCCCTGGGTCAGAGACGAGGCTCCTCTGACCCAGGAGTCCAGGGAGGGGACGGTGCCCGTGGCCCGGGCTCAGGGCACTGGGCGGGCCGGGGCAGGTGTGCTGAGCCTGCAGGAGTTCGCCGCCATGGACCTCCGGGACCTCCGCACCTTCATGAAGAGGCACCGGGCGGAGAGCGGCGAGCTGGTGCGGAACAGCCACCACACGTGGCTCTACCAGGGGGAAGGCGCCCACCACGTCATGCGGTCCATCCGCCAGAGGTGAGCGCGCTGTCCCGGGCTGGGAGGAGAGGGCGGACCCGTCGAGAGACCGGCAATCACAGAGGCACACTGGCCTGGCTGTGGGCACACCACCTCTGGGATCAGAAACAGACTGAATGCTTGTTTCCTGCTGAGCAGAGAATGCTCTGCAGGGGTTTACTTTTTTATTGATTATTTCTTTTCATTGATTTCAGAGAAAGAAAGGGAGAAGAGAGAGCTAGAAACATCAATCATGAGAGAGAAGCATTGATCGGCTGCCTCCTGTACACCCCTACTGGGGATTGAGCCAGTAACCTGGGCATGTGCCCTTGATTGAACTCGAACCAGGGACCCTTCAGTCCGCAGGCCGATGCTCTATCCACTGAGCCACCCAGCCAGGGCCCTCCCTGCAGGGGTTAGGTAACCTTCCTCCTGGGGGAGCGTCCCCACCTAATTTAGTAGAAATCTCCCCTTTCCCACCCAGAGGTGTCTCCGGCATCGTGACCACCTCTTCCTGCTCCCAGAGGGCCGTGTGGCTCAACGGGCTCTGGGGGAGGTGAGCAGGCCCAGCGCCCACGCTGTCCGGGTGCCACCTTGCATGAGGCTGCCAGCTGAATGCCCGCTGCCCACCAGGGTGCTGCGCCTCACCCGCCTGCCAGCCGAGGTCGTGGAGCTCAGCGAGCCCATGCAGGTGGTGCGGTACGGCGAGGGTGGCCACTACCATGCCCACGTGGACAGCGGGCCTGTGTACCCAGAGACCATCTGCTCCCACACCAAGCTGGTCACGAACGAGTCTGTGCCCTTCGAGACCTCCTGCCGGCAAGTACCTCCCCCTGGGGCCGCCGTCCACCCCAGACCACACATGCCCACCTGTTCCCCAGGCTGGCTACCGAGTGTCAGGAAAGGGGTGGCCAGGTGGAGGTATCCCCAGACCCTGAAGCTTGTCCCCAGGGCTGTGAGGCGTGGGAAAAGGGGCCTAGAACCCCAGCTCTTCCTGCCGCTCCCCAAGTGCTGATCCTGCCTCCCCGGCCGCCCAAAACTGTGGGACACAGAGGGACCAGGTCTGTGGGAGGATGGTCCTGACCTGCCCCTCCAGCCCTCGGGGTCAGCGGGTGCTCAGTGCCCCTCCTCACAGCTACGTGACCGTGCTGTTCTACCTGAACAACGTCACGGGCGGCGGAGAGACGGTCTTCCCTGTGGCCGACAACAGGACCTATGACGAGACGGTGAGCTCTCCAGGGTGCTGGGGGGGGGGGCAGGGCGCTGGCACACGTACTGCCCTCCAGACCTGGGAGGAGAGCTGAGGTGGCGGGCGCCTGCCCGGCTGCCCTCTGGCCAGAGGCGGGGCAGCTGGAAACCCCCTTCCTGCCGCAGAGTCTGGTCCAGGACGGCGTGGACCTCCGTGACACCCGCAGGCACTGTGACAAGGGCAACCTCCGGGTCAGACCCCAGCAGGGCACGGCCGTCTTCTGGTACAACTACCTGCCTGACGGGCAAGGTGAGGCCCTGGCCGGCGAGGGGTGCCTCCGAGGGAGCTGCCCGCACCAGCCCCAGCTGCCCCCTGGGGGCTGTTTCTGGCCCCGCACACGGTGTGCCGCCCTCGTGCCTCCCCCAACCCATCCCCAGCGGCTCTGGCGCAGCTTCCTGGGTCACCTCTGCCCTTGGGGCTCCCTGAAGCCCCAGCTTCAGCTCCCTGGGCTGGGAGCGCATGGCTTCCCCTCCGAGGCTGGCAGGGCTCTGACAGGCCGGCGGGAGCCTGGGTTCAGAGGGCGGGGAGGGGGTGTGACAGAGCCAGGGCTGGTGCGGGTGCTGTGTTTGCCACGGGAGGCCGGGGCCCAGGCCAAGCCCATCAGTCCAGCTCGCCCCGGCCCCCCCGGCTCACACCGCGCCCTCTCCTAGGCTGGGTGGGCGACGTGGACGAATACTCGCTGCACGGGGGCTGCGTGGTCACTCGTGGCACCAAGTGGATCGCCAACAACTGGATCAACGTGGACCCCAGCCGAGCGCGGCAGGCGCTGTACCAGCAGGAGATGGCGCGCCTGGCCCGCGAAGGGGCCGCCGACGCGCAGCCCGAGTGGGCCCTGGACCGCGCCTACGGCGACGCGCGCGTGGAGCTCTGAGCGGAGCGTCCGGCTCGGCCCCGCCGCCCGCGCTGGGGGCCCGCAGCTCCCCGACCAGCTTCAAGCCAAAGTCCGCCGACGGCTTGCCCGCCCCGCCTCCGGCCGCGACCCGCCCCGCACCTCCTCCGTTATTTATTGTACGGACGCTGCCGCCTCCAATAAAACAACCGCTGCCAGCCGGCCCGGCTCGGTCGGCGGGAGGACGCGCGGCGGCGGGCGCGGGCAGGGGGGCGGGAGGCGGCGGGGCGGGCTGCGGGCCGGTCACGTGACGGGGCGGGGCGAGGCGGTCCGGCCAATCCTGAGCTGCGCTGCGTGAGCGGAGGGCCGCCATTGGCCGGAGCCGCTGGCGAGCCTGCCCGGCGACCTGTTGCTAAGGGCGCCAGAGTTCGGCGGCGGGCGCCCGGGAACGCGGGTCTCGCGAGAGCTCCGCTCCCTCTCCGTCGGCGGCCGCAGCGCGGACCGGCGGGCATGGACGCTGCCGGGGACTACGCTTGGCCGCGGGCCACCTCCGAGCTCATGCTGCTCCCGGTCACGGGGCTGGAGTGCGTGCGCGAGCGGCTGCTGGCCGGTGAGGCTCCGTTTGCGGCGCGCGCAAGCGGAGAAGCCGCGCGCCCCGGGGGCGTGGGGAACAAAGGGGAGCGGGGGAGGGTGCCGGGGGGGGGGTGCCGGGGAGAGGCCCGGGGAGGGTGCCGGGGGGAGGGTGCCCGGGGGGGGGAGGCCCGGGGAGGGTGCCGGGGGGGAGGCCCGGGGAGGGTGCCGGGGGGAGGGTGCCGGGGGGAGGCCCGGGGGAGGGTGCCCGGATGAGGGTGCCGGGGGGGAGGCCCGGGGAGGGTGCCGGGGGGAGGGTGCCCGGGGGAGGGTGCCGGGGGGAGGCCCGGGGAGGGTGCCGGGGGGAGGCCCGGGGAGGGTGCCGGGGGGAGGGTGCCGGGGGGAGGCCCGGGGGAGGGTGCCCGGATGAGGGTGCCGGGGGGAGGGTGCCCGGGGAGGGTGCCGGGGGGAGGGTGCCCGGGGGAGGGTGCCCGGGTCCGGAGGCCGGGCCGGGGCGGGCGGCGGGGCGCCCGGGGGTGCGCTGTGGCCCGGCCGGAGCGGCCCAGAAGACCAGCCCGCTGTGGCTGCCGAGGCCGCCCCGCACCCGCCCTGACGTGGACGGGCTGGGGCCGCGGAAGGTGCGGGAGCCCGTGTGTAGGCGGCGGGGGCGGGGGCGCGGTCCTTGGATGAGCCGGGGGCTTGTTCCTCCCGGGAAGACGGCAGGTGCCTGGATGAGGCCCCTCCGTTGGGGGGCGGGTCCGGGGCGGGGCGGGCCTGGGGGACGGAGGCGCCTCCCTGGGAGCTGGGGCCGCAGGGCCTCTGCGCGGGATGAGGGCTGGGAACCTGGTGAGACCTTCCTGAGCGGGTCGGTGCGGGAGGCGGAGGCCGAGCCCCTCCCGAGATGGGGGGTCCACCAGGCTTCTCTTCGCCCCGCGCCGCCGCTTTCCCTTGGGCTCGGCTGCCGGAAGGGGGCGCCCTCCCCTGGCTCCCGGCGTGGGTCTGTCTCCCTGGACGCTCTGGGTCAGATCGTGGTTGGGAGCGGCCGCCTGCCCTGTCGGTGCCCAGCAGCACCCCTGGCCTCCCCGAGGGGCAGGCCCCCCCCAACCGCTGGAGCAGACTCCCCACTGTGAAGGCTTACAGCCCCTGTGCTCCTCCCGGACCTGCCACCAACCGGCATGGCCACCGGTTCGCTGCTGTTCAGTGTCTGCTTAGTTCATAGAGCGGCAGCCCCCAGCCTCGTGTGGGCCCCGCCCCCTTGATCATCTCCATATCCTTACACCCCCCATGTATAATTCCTGTTACTAAAAAAGTAAGCTCCTTCTCACCGAAATGCATAAACGTCACAATACACATGTATATACTGTATATGAGGCCCCTGGAACCGTAAGAAATGCAAAAAAGTTCAGTTAATAACTCATTCTCTGATGCCCCCCTTAAAAGCACATTGCCCCTGAGGCGTGTGCCACGTTGGGAACCGCTGCCAGGAGCAAGGCCTGGGCTTGTCTTCCAGGGCTCAGCACACAGCTTGCTGTCTGGTCTGTACCGATGCCCCCAGTGCTGACGGAGTGTGTGCAGATCGAGTGCAGACTCAGAATGGCATGAGACTGGGCGGGCATTTCAGATTCAGACGTGACGTTCTGGACCGAGGACTGGTGGGGTTTGCAAACTTGGAGACAGCCCTCCTGCCACAGTGTGGACGCGCACACACACACACACACCCCCGTGCAGGGAAGGAGCTCCTGGAAGGCAGGGGCGCTCTGTGGCCCCAGGGGAAGAGGTGGTCTCAGTGGGCAGCCTCGCCCGCTTGGGTGCGTGGGGGAGAATTCCTGGACAGGTAGGTGAGGTAAGGGTGAGAGGCTGGAACAAGAGAAGTGGTGGGTGAGGAGGCGGCGGCTGTGGGATTGTCCCGCACACTCACAGGCCCCGATGGAGAGAGTCGTCGTGTCCGTGCCCCCCCCGCCCCCCGGCTCTTCTTGCGTCCGGGGAGGCGTCTGATTGGCTCTTTGCTCCTGTCCAGGCGAGGGGCCGGACATGCTGGTGTACAGCCTGGATTTCGGGGGCCACCTGCGGATGATGAAGCGAGTGCAGAACCTGCTCGGCCACTACCTAATCCACGGGTTCCGGGTGCGACCAGAGCCCAAAGGAGACCTCGACGTGGAGGCCATGGTGGCCACGTTCGGGAGCAAGGGCCTCCGAGTGGTGAAGATGAGCTGGGGGCAGGGCCGCTTCCGGGAGCTCTGGCGCTCTGGCCTGTGGACCATGGCGGACTGGGTCTGGGACGCACGCTGGCTGGAGGGGAACATGGCCCTGGCCCTGGGCCACAACTCGGTGGTGCTGTACGACCCCGTCATAGGCTGCCTCCTGCAGGACGTCCCCTGTACAGACCGGTGCACGCTCTCCTCCGCCTGTCTGATCGGGGACACCTGGAAGGAGCTGACCGTCGTGGCAGGTGCCGTTTCCAACCAGCTCCTGGTCTGGTACCCGGCGGCCGCGCTGGTGGACAGCAAGCCCGTGGCCCCGGACCGGCGGGTCAGCGGGCACGTGGGGGCCGTCTTCAGCATGTCCTACCTGGAGAGCAAGGGCTTGCTGGCCACGGCGTCCGAGGACCGCAGCGTGCGCATCTGGAAGGTGGGCGACCTGCGGGTGCCCGGGGGCCGCGTGCAGAACATCGGGCACTGCTTCGGGCACAGCGCCCGCGTGTGGCAGGTCAAGCTGCTGGAGAATTACCTGGTCAGCGCCGGGGAGGACTGCGTCTGCTTGGTGTGGAGCCACGAGGGCGAGATCCTGCAGGCGTTTCGCGGCCACCAGGGCCGTGGGATCCGGGCCCTCGCCGCCCACGAGAAGCAAGCCTGGGTGGTCACGGGCGGCGACGACTCCGGCATCCGGCTGTGGCACCTGGTGGGGCGTGGGCACTCGGGCTCCGGGGTCTCCGCGCTCTCCTTCAAGTCCCCCAGCAGGCCGGGCGCCCTCAAGGCGGTGACGCTGGCCGGCTCGTGGCGAGTGCTGGCAGTGACTGACTCGGGCGTCCTGTACCTCTATGACCTCGAGGCTAAGTGCTGGGAGCAGCTGCTGGAGGACAAGCGCTTCCAGTCCTACTGCCTCCTGGAGGCGGCCCCCGGGCCGGAGGGCTTCGGGCTGTGCGCCATGGCCAGCGGGGAGGGCCGCGTCAAGGTCGTCCCCATCAACACTCCCACCGCGGCCGTGGACCTGACCCTGTTCCAAGGCAAGGTGCACAGCGTGAGCTGGGCCCTGCGTGGCTACGAGGAGCTGCTGCTGCTGGCCTCGGGCCCCGGCGGCGTGGTGGCCTGCCTGGAGGTCACGGCCGCCCCCTCGGGCAAGGCCATCTTCGTCCAGGAGCGCTGCCGGTACCGGCTGCCGCCCAGCAAGCAGCGCTGGCACACGTGCAGCGCCTTCCTGCCCCCGGGCGACTTCCTGGTGTGCGGCGACCGGCGGGGCTCCGTGCTGCTGTTCGCCTCCCGGCCGGCCCTGCTCCAGGAGCTGGGGCTCGGGGGCCGGGCTGAGACCGGGGCCGAGGCTGGGGCCGGGGAGCTCGGTGACGGCGGCGAGGGGGAGGCCGCCGTGACGGAATGGGGCCCTGTGTCCGTCCTGCGGTCTCTGCACGGGAAGCAGGGGGTGACCTCGGTCACCTGCCACGGCGGCTACGTGTACAGCACCGGGCGCGACGGGGCCTACCACCAGCTGCTAGTGCGCGGCGGCCAGCTGCAGCCCGTGCTGCGGCGCACGTGCTGCCGGGGCATGAGCTGGGTGGCCGGGCTGCGGGTGATGGCCGACGGGAACACCGTCATCCTGGGTTTCCACGCCAACGAGTTTGTGGTGTGGAGCCCCCGGTCGCACGAGAAGCTGCATGTGGTGCGCTGCGGCGGCGGCCATCGGTCCTGGGCCTTCTCGGACACCGAGGCGGCCATGGCCTTTGCCTACCTCAAGGACGGCGACGTCCTGCTGTACCGGGCCCTCGGGGGCTGCACCCGGCCGCACGTGCTCCTGCGGGAGAGCCTGCACGGCCGCGAGATCACGTGCGTCCGGCGCGTGGGCACCATCGCGCTGGGGCCCGAGTGCGAGCTGCCCGGCTTCATGCAGCCGGACGACCTGGAGCCGGGCAGCGAGGGGCCCAGCCTCATCGACATCGTCATCACGTGCAGCGAGGACACCACCATCTGCATCCTGGCGCTGCCCACGGCCACGGGCTCTGCCCACGCGCTGACCGCCGTCTGCAACCACATCTCCTCGGTGCGCGCCGTGGCCGTGTGGGGCGTCGGCGCCCCGGCTGGCCCCCCGGGCCTGACTGCCCGCGTGGTGTCTGCGGGCGGCCGGGCTGAGATGCACTGCTTCAACATCATGGTCACCCTGGACCCCGGCGCCCCGAGCCGCCTGGCCTGCCACGTCATGCACCTGTCCTCGCACCGGCTGGACGAGGACTGGGACGGCCAGCGCCGTCGGCACCGGGCGGTCAA